AGTGTAAGCTCAACAGCAACCTCAGACTCTTGGGTTCAAGGAATCCTCCTGCCTCCAAGTAGCTGGGACAGCAGGTACCCACTACAATGCCTGGTTAATTTTTCTAACTTTAGTAGCGACGGGGGTCTCGCTCTTACTCAAGCTAGTCCAGAACTCTTGAACTTAAGCAATCCACCTGCCTCGGCCTCTCAGAGTGTTGGGATTACAGGCGTGAGCCACTGTGCCTAGCCTTCTTTTTCAACTCTTAAAGCATGACCACTAATCCTTAAAGCAAGAGCCCTTAGAGATAAGAAGATAAATACTGAAGGTGGATTAGATCTGCTGTCCCCATCCAGAGGAGTATTTAGAAACTGGCCGTGGGGGTGGGGGGGTGAGTGCGCCTGGAATCTCATGAGAGGACATGCTGCCGGCAGCCTTAGCTGGTCAGTTCATGGGACAGGTTCCTGGCGCACAGCTGCACACTTGGCTGGGCAGAACAGCACTGGACCCCGCGCCGCCCCGGTGTCTGTTGAAGGAGAATGACTGGGTGGCTGCAGGCAGCTCCGTCTCACCAGTCACAGTCACAGACTATTTCTTTCCTTCTAGAAATGGGATTGTTCTCCAGCAGAATCACCAACTTACAAGTGGCCCCACAGAGGATAGGACAGGAGTTACTTGGAAAAGCTCACGAGAAAACGGGTCCTCCAAGAGTGACAACATGCAAAGCCAAGACCTCCCTCCCTGCCGCATCCCTCCTTTCCTGCCTCCTTTCCCAGCTTTACGCCCCAGGAAGAGGCTGCGTCACCAAGAATTCCATGTTGCTTTCTGGTCAGGAGGATGAGGGACAGGCGAGGAAAAGGGCCCTAACGCACTTGGAACTGTACTTGTCCTTTTCCTAACTGAGGAGCCTTATTTGTAGTTTGGAGACTTTATTCACATTTTAAAAGACTTTAGCTGAGCCAGGTGAATCCATTTTTATGGCATGGGTCCTCTGAACACGAAACAATGAAATCTTTCTTAGATGTTACAGTATACTTCAGCATTAAGAGTAATTGGTTTAAATCAGACACCTGCATTTTCTTATTGCTGGCGGAAGCAGTGGCCTCCTTACACCCAACCAGAATCTTCAGAGACCAAGTTAGTGTATCTAAGAAAAGCTTTTTTAAAGGGACTTTGAGGGGAAGTGGGGAAAGTACAGGGGAGGAAACCTCAGAGGAGGGTCATTTTATTTGGTTTAAGCCAGCACATCTGCTAGTCTCTTGAATTTACTGTGGTGATGGCCAGAATTAGCTCAGAAGTCAAACTCAGGGATGACAGAATCCCAGGGTCATCCACAGATATGCTGAAAATACCCAGGTATTGCGCAGGGGACAAGGAAGAAACTTCCCACCACCTAGGGCCATGAACATGAGGAAGTTTCTGAAGGATTTCTTTAAAAATCTCAGAAGAAAGTTGAAGAGACCATGTATGTTCAGGTCTGTGATTCAGTGGGACACAGATTCACGTGGCTGCAGTCACATCAGTTTTGCTTTGCCAAACAAACTAGGGGAAATGTTATCACTTTTACTACGTGGTGGGTGACCTGAATGATTTAGGTAAAAAATGCACACATGGCGGAGGAGGAGGTCGCTGCCCTCTCGCACACATCTCCAGGAGGCTCCTACCTCTCTCTCTCTACTCACCAGCACCCATCATGCAGCTTTGCGTGACCTGTGAACTTGTCTCCCCAGCATCCCTGAAGGCAGGGACTGTCCTGTTCTCCACTGTAACCCCTCGGCCCAGCACAAGGTAACATCCATGTTTACGAAGCGAATGACTCAATGAAGAACAAAGCGCTTCCTTTCTAGAGTAATTTTGCCTTGCCTAATTAAGCCTCCTTCTTTAAGTGTGAGGAAATCAGTGGTTATGTTGCACAGCATATAGAAATAAATGATTATCTCGCTGAACAATGAACTGGGACTAGTAGTAAAAGGTGTCTGCCTGTTGTTCCTTAGTTATTGCTCCGCCAAGTAGCCCAATTTGTTAACTGACTACATTAAAGATCTAATTTAATTAAATCTTCAATAAGGCTAGAAGACCTGGGGAGAGCACTTTGTTTAATTACAGGCAGGGGGCAAGCACCAACCCTATTGATCTGGTCAGTTAAAATTCCGTACGATGAATGTAGGCAAGAAAAAAAATGCAGCCCCAAGTGCTTCTCAGCCAACCCTGACCCACTAACTGTGAATGTAAAGCTGCTGCCCAGATAGCAGAGGCAAACCAGCCACACGCCTGGAAGTGTTACCAGGTGAAGTGACACTGTCCCCAGCTGCTCTGTAGAGCTACACCTTGTGAAGAACAAAAGACAAGCCAACCGCAAGAGATGGGCCCTTTCACAGGGAAATGAAATACACTGGGTGAACAGGTGGCGGCTGGAAGAAGCCTCCCAGCACACAAAGTCCAGTGAACTGGGGTTCAAAGGCATACAGTAAAATTCTTGGAGATCCAAAACTGTCTTGAAATAAAAAGAAAGAAATCCAGTTCATGGATATGTATGCAAATTCCTGAGGACGTTTCCAGTTAAGGAAGAGATACAAGGTCCACAATATTTTATTATTTGTAGGTAACTCAAATGCAAATTATGTAGATTTATATTAAATGGTAATTGCACAAACTTAAAAATAAACGTGACGAGAGGTTCTGACTAAATTGTGCCTGTGTACAGGGGCAGGCGTGCATGTGAATATATATGTTATTATTCAATGTTCATGTCAGAGTTCTTCAAACATCTAAGGATTTACAAAAAGATGGCATAGTGCTAAACTTATATGCTACTCAACAGGGAATTCTGGATTTCACCCTAAGCATCTAGGACTAATTTTTGGAACATTTACTGTTTGCCAGGCATTATCTACCTACTTTATGAGTATTACCGAATTTTCCTGCATTGGGTACTACTATTGTCCCCACATCATAGTGGAGTAAACTGTGGCACAGAGAGGGTAGGTAACTTGCCAGACTCCTGGTGACTTGGCAGGCCACGCTGTGACCCCAGGTGGTTTGGCTCCAGAGAGCACAGGGTCTCTGCTGTATGCTATTCTTAATACAGACCTCAGGTCAGAGAAAACACTGAAAGAAGGGAGGAAGGATGGCTTTTAACCTCTTACTAGTCACAATCAAGGGCTGTCTTGTGCTTTAGTAACTCAAATTAGAGAAGAAAATTTATTCTAAACCACAATATGTAATTAAACCTAAGATCAACAGTTTCTCTTACAAAACATGCACCATCAGAACACACACGGTTAAGGGCGAGCACATACCTAATTAGGGCATTAGTCATAATGACCAGGGAGTGTAACCCAGGGAATTACAGGGGGTGCGGGCCGTGGAGCTGAGGACATTTTATCCGGTTGCCCAGATAAAGCCTTTACTGACTGGGATGATTTACTCCTGCAGACACAAGGCTGAGCGCGCCGTCCAGTACAGCTGGCTACTGAAAATACGGCTCTGCGTCCTGAGTTAAGACAAAATGATCTTTAGATGTGAGAGGTGGTAGTCCTGGCCTTCTAATTATGACAGTAGCCATAAATGAGGGAGAGTGTTGATAACATACAAGAATAGTAATTTCTTCCGCATTTATACATCGTGGCAACTAAGAATGCTTGCTTGTGGATGAAAGCCCAAATGATCTGCGCATGCTGACCTGACTGAAGCACAAGTTATTTCCAAGGTGCTCTTGAAGGGTAAGGAAGAAAGAGCAAGGGTGAAAGAGAACGATACCTGCTGGATGTATTTTCTTCTCTTCTAATTTATCTGTGTGCAAAATGACCAGTCAGAGCACAAGTAGGAAGCAAGCTGGTAATGCCGCCAACGATGAGAGGGCGGGTAAAGCAGGTCTAGCAATTCAAAGTGAATTCAGCAGTTCAGAGGGAATTGTCTGATTGAAGAATTCATTGCTTCCCCTCCAGTCCCATCACATATAAAACCCTGGGCAAACAAAGGACTTGTGGGTTGCTGGGAAAAACTCCATCTTTGGCAGACTGAAGGCCTTAACAATTCTGCCAGACGTTTCTATCCTGAAACATCAGCTTCTTCAGTAATGGATGTTAAGTCTTAATGAAAATGGCTCTCAGACTAGTTCAGGCACTGGGGAAATACTGGGGGAAATACCGGCATCACAGACACATACACGGGCATACATGCAGAGACACGCACATGCACACACACGCTTACATGTACACGTGGGCACATGCATGTACACGCCTACACATTTGCAGACAGGATTATTTTCACTTTTTTATAAGTCTACACCAGAAGGGGTAACATTTCACTTAAGAGAAGTAAAGATGCTAAATGAGAGCAGGTACTCTAAAGTGAAAGAAAATTTACAGAAAAAAACCGTAAGGGGAAAATTCTCTATGTATTTCTTCAAATTATAAAAATATTATTAGCTTACGTTAAAGAAGAACATTTTAATTAGGCTTGAGGAAGACGCACGTACTCTGGGGACGGGTTTTGAATTACTGCCCTGGTATAATTTTATCATCCATTCAGATTTAAGATTGCAGAGAAAAGTGGTTTTTTTTTTTTTTAATCTTACCTTTATACCTTAGCACTTTCAAACTACTTTCTTTTTCTTTTTCTGAGACAGGGTCTCACTGCTGCCTAGGCTTGAGTGCAGTGGCGTCATCATAGCTCACAGCAACCTTAAACTCCTGGGCTCAAGCGATCCTCCAGCCTCAGTCTCCTGAGTAGCTGGGACTACAGGGGCCTGCCATACCCAGCTAGTTGAGATGGGGTCTTGCTCTTTCTCTAGTTCATCATGAACTCCTGAGTTCAAGTGATCCTCCCAGAGTGCTAGGATTACAGGTGTGAGCCAATGTACCTGGCCCACAAAGTAATTTCAAGAATGACTTTGAACAACAAAGAATGAACAACAAAGGGATGGCAGTTCCCCAAACTATAAGTGCCACAAAATTCCTAGGCTGGCACTGGCCCTGCACGCCCAGGGGAGGCCCCGCCACGCTGGCTGCTGTTCTCACCCTCCTGCGCAGCCGGTCCCGCTCCTCCCGGATGGCGTTCATGGTGGCCTTGGTGCGGTTCAGCTCCTCCTCTTTGCTGCACAGCATGGCGGTCAGGCTCTCGTTTTCTTCCCTCAGCCCCGCCAGCTCCTTCTCCCACCGAGACCGCTCTTCAGCCAGGTTGGGATACAGGTCCCGGCCAAGCACCCCCTCGATCTCCTCAACTGTCTGCAAAACAAAGCCACAAAGAAAAGTCAAGTCAACTGACTTGGAGAAGGGGGCTGGGAAGGAGACAGACGGGATGGGAACAGGTACCCAAAGAAGAACAGTGGGTGCTAGAGCCACCTTATTAGAAATAGTGAATATGACTAAGGACATCCTAAGATTACCTTCTCCACAACTTCAGATGCCCTCGTCACCTGCCTGAGTAGCAGTCTGTGCAGCCCAGGAATTCCCAGAGTTAAAACCCATGGAGTCCCCGCCTGGTATTCTAGTCTATTTCTGGTGCTAATTGTCAGTGCACACAAATGTTCATTTCCTTCACTTGAGTTCCAGAGAAGGTAGAGACCCCGAATCAGGCCGCAGGCCGATCAGTGATCCTGATACTGCAATTGCAAGCGCTAGGGTTGCAAACTGTGTACAAAAATCTAACTCAAAGTTTCCTAAATGAGAGGCCTCCCACGTGCCAACTCAGCAATAGGGTAGGTCACGTCACTGCTACCAGCCTTTAGTGACACATCAGAATTCAAATGGTGTAAAACAGGCTCAGTCCCAAGACACGAAAGACAAAAATAAACCTCAGTGACACAGAAAAGAGGAAGCTCGTTGTAGAAGTTTCTAAGACAGCAGGGATTTAATTAATTAATAATACAGCTATAAACTGAACAGAATTTTAATAGTACTTTGAGAGTTTAAAAACATTCATTTAACACGTTATTAATGGAGAAGAAACATACATAAAATAAGAGAAAAGGGAAGAACTCATTCTGCTTGCTGTCAAACTATTCCTGTGCATTTCCTGTACTTTGGAAAACGCAGCAGATGCCAACTAATAACGACACAGGGGGGAGGACAACCGTGGGGGCGACAGCACTGAATGGATGTGATAAGAAACAAGTCTCAAATACTTAAAAAACAGGGGCATGTCACTCTGAGATGCTGCCCCTTCCCATGCTGTGCCTTCCTGTTCCTTTCAGGCCTGAGACTCCTCTCCCACTGGGCTCTGCTCCAGACCCTGCTTTGTCCCTTGCTGGTTAGAAGTCTGTGGCCTCCTCTTTCCCTCTTAGTGCCGAGGCTGGGGCTAGACCTGTTGTCACTACAACCAAACATCGGGCCTGGCAGGTCGCAGAGAAAAAAACCAACGATTCTTCTCCCTCCTGCAAACCACATCAACTGTACGTTTGCGATGCAGATGAAAAGATGGAAAACCAGCAGTGCTATGAACTCGGATCATGGTTCACTCTAAGACACTACAGCGCTTTTGTGAAACCCTAGATTCCAATTAACTCGCCCTTTTTGCTGCGTAGCCAGTGAGCTGGATGGTGACTGTTGATATAATGACTTTTCCTAAAGTAGTTCAGCCCAACAAAAATTTACAGTGTCCTGCTTCTGCCTCGTGGCCCAGTTTATAGTCTGCCTTTCATAGAAACATTTGGCCCTAATACACATTTGAGGAAAAAACACAAATCCTTCAAGAGAAGTAATTGACCGTTTCCCTCATAGAATCTTGAAGAGCCACGCGGAGGGAGAGGGACGCCACCTTAATGGCCAAGTCGCAGTGCTCGCTGGCCGTGGTGAGCTGCTCGATGTGCCTGTCCACCTCCGCCACCGAGAGGCTGCAGCTGCTCTTCTTGCGGTCACAGAGGGCGTTCTCCAGCCCCGTCAGCACCCTCTGCAGTTCCGAGTCCAGGTCGCTGCAGTTGTCTGTGAGTGAAGGAAGACAAAAGGCATTAAGCCCGACAGTGAGCTCTCTGCTTCACTTACCCTGAGGGACTGACTTGGGCGAGAGGGGATGTCTGGGCAGCTGGACGGTCAGGAGCCTGACACCGCCAGCCCAGTCTCACAGCACTGCCTCCGAGGCTTGGGGTCAAAGGACAGCTCTTTATTAAGGCCTTTCAGACCACGGTCAATTTCTAGATAGCCAAGTTACCCTGAATTCTCTTGTCTTTCACTCAAAGAATAAAAAAGTTATTTCATGGGGGGCGGGGGGTATTGACACTTCTGAAGTCTTCTGATCAACCTTCTTGCTCAGCCTTTCAAACAAGCACTAATTACAGGAAGATATTGGGCTAAGAAGATCCCATCCCTTTATTAAACAAACAACAAGAAGCCTAGAATGAGCAGAGATGGTAGGCATCTCGAAAAAACACAAATTGTACAAGAGACAGTCTTTACCCTCAACAAGCTTAGATCAGTTTTTCCCTCTAATACAACCAGTCAAAATTCTGCACTGGTGTGATTTAACCCACATTTTTCCAGCAGTGGAAACAATAATGACTGTCCTAACAAATTACGTATTGTTCTTCACGTCCATGTCTTGTAACCAATTCTAATAGTTTGATTTTGACTTAAAAATCTCAGTTGTATATATTTTTTTCCCTTTTTTTGAGACTGGGTCTCACTCTGTCACCCAGAGTAGAGTACGTGGTGTCATCATAGCTCACTACAGCCTCAAACTCCTAAGCTCAGGGGATCCTCCTGCCTAAGCATCCTGAGTAGCTGGGACTATAGGTGCTCAACACCTCACCTGGCTAATTTTTAATGTTTTTATAGAGATGGGGTCTTGCTGTGTTGTTAATGCTGATCTCGAACTCCTGGTCTCAAGTGATCTTTCTGCCTCAGCCTCCCAAAGTACTGAGATTACAGGCATGGGCCACCATGCCTGGCTGTTACTTTTAAATGCTGAACATATTTGGCCTGGTCAGGGATGGAAAATTATTGTAATTGTAATGTGGGCTAGATATATCTTAGAAGATAACTTCTTTATGGGAAAACTCCTTTAAAGTCAAATACAAATTCCTTTTTCTTTCTCTTTTTGGAGACTGAATCTCACTTTGTCACCCTGGGTAGAATGTTGTGGCATCATAGTACACAGCAACCTCAAATTCCTGTGGGCTCAAGTGATTCTCTTGCTTCAGCCTCCCAAATAGCTGGGACTATCGACCCCCACCACAACTCCTGGCTATTTTTAGAGATGGGGGTCTCGCTGTTGCTCAGGCTGGTCTCAAACTCCTGAGCTCAGGCGATCCACCTGCCTCAGCCTCCCAGAGTGCCAGGATTACAGGCGTGAGCCACCGTGCCTGGCTTTAAGCACAAATTTCTTAACTTGCTATTTCAGATTCTGTTGATATCACCAAGCCATTTAATTATTGCAGCAAGACAGATGTTGACTATATATAATCTCTTAAAGCCCCATTCTTCCTCCCCCTCCAGCCTGGTTTCTGCACGAACGCTGCTCAATGTCTTCAGCGTCCCCTTCTCATCATAGGTTCTGCACACTAAACGGCCAACTGCTTTTGGTACTTACCTTTGGAAGACTTCAGGAAAATTCCTAGTACTAAGGGACAGGATTTCTCAGAATATTTCAGTCAACCTCCGCTGGCTGCCTGTATCTATAAGTTACCTAAATCTAGAGAGAAGATCAGCCTAAGGCTTTCGCTCCAACCAGTGCACACAATTATCCTGCCTACTTCTCAAACCCGTTCATCCCGATCTTCCCATCTCCACCCTGTCAATCAGGCCAGCTCTGAGGCAACCATCAGTTCCCTTTGCCCGATCTTCTAAATTCAATCCATCTTACGATGACAACCTGTAAAACTTATCCCCAAACTGACCTCTTCTTACCACCTCCATTGACACCATCCTGGTCCAACGAACCATCTTTTCCCAACTGGATCACTGTCACAACCTCCCACCTCCACTCCCCACACCCTCGCCAAAGCAAGCCATTTAAAGATTAGATTAGATCCTGTTACTTTCTTAGCCCTAACTGTCTAAGGGCCTCCTGTTGTCATCCAATGAAAGTTTAAACCCTTACCAAAGTGCACAAAACTCTGCATGATCAAGACTGATGTGCTTAATCCATGTTGCCCCATGGAATTCCTGGAGCAGCTTTAATAAAATCCCAGTGTCCAGGCCCCACCCCCAGACCAATTAAATCACAATCTCTGTGGGGAGGAGCTTGGCCACTGGAAAACTTTTTAAGTTCCTCAGACAATTCTCGCAGTCAGGGCGAGAGCCACTGACCTGGGCCTTGCCTCATCTGTCCATCCCTCATGGTTCTCCACACTCGGTTCACACCCCGAGCATTCTCTCTATCCCTGCAACACGGCCAAACTCCTCCCTGTCCCAGGGTCTCCTTTTCCTTTCACCTATACTGATTCCTACCCAAATTTCCATGAATCATTCAGCTCGTAGCTCAAGGGCTACCCCCTCCCTGAGCTCTTCCCTGTCTAAATCTTGGGGTTCCATCTCCTCCCCTGGCCAGTCTCTATCCCAGTATCCTACATTCTTCCTGGCAATTATCATTATCTGATCTGACTTATGTGTTTGTTATCTCTCTGCTACGAAAACATAAGCTCCATGACAGGAGGCACTTTGATCTTCCCCCCTGTTGTATCTCCATCACGGAACAGTTGTAGGCTTGATGATCAAGTGTTATTTTTTTGAATGAGCAAATATAAACACATCACTATTTATTTAGGAGATAGCAAGACTGTCAATGGCACCATATTTTTCACTGACTTTATGCTTTTTTCCTTGCTAGGAATCCTGCCCTGAGCTGACAAGAACTGGGAGCCACTCGACACTGCCCTCTAGAGATGGAGGGCAGGTGCACAGGACCAGCTTGCTGCCGAGGGGCTAGGGTGAGGAGCAGCACTCCCCAGGAACCACACAAACCAGTCTCCCAAAGGTCATTTACCTTCAGAAAGGTGCAAAGTTTCCTAGTTCCCTGAGCTGGAGTGAATGTGCATTTCTGGATGGGAAAGGAAGACGGCTCTCTTGGGCTCCTTCATGCTGATTCTCCAGCACTGTCTGCTGGATGCAATAACCAGGGCTCTCCCAGCAGGACCAGCAGGGTGGCGCCCAGGTTGCTCTCTGAGGATGCTGAGTTACAGCAGTAGGGGGTTGGGGGGAAGGATCTGACCAGTATTTCTCATTCCTCCCCCCCCGCCCCCACAAGGCAAAGTCTCACTCTGTTGCCCAGGGTAGAGTACCATGGTGTCATAGCTCACAGCAACCTCAAACTCTTTGGTTCAAGTGATCCTCCTGCCTCAACCTCCCCAGTAGCTGGGACTACAGGTGCTCACCATGACATCTGGCTAGTTTTTCTATTTTTAATAGAGACGGTAGAGTCCTGCTCTAGGTCAGATTGGTCTTAAACTTCTGAACTCAAGCAATCCATCTGCCTTGGACTCCTAGAGTGCTAGGATTACAAGCCACTGTGCCGGGCTTCTTTCTCGTTCTTTAATCAAAGAGTTGATGAGCCCTGGACTCAGGCTAGAAGCAGAGGGTAAGGAGGAGTAGGAGACGGACCTCAAGTGTGAAGGGCACACAGAGGTACAGAGCCACAGCCCCTTCTCTCAGCTGCCTGCCACTTCTCTGGGGAAAAGAGAACATAGAGAGCCAGGAGGTCACAGGGAAGACATTTAAATTAACACACATGCTCTAAAGAACTAGTGAGCTTCCGTCCTTCAAACCAAGGAAGGCTAATAACGCTTTCTTTGGTTATAAGAAGCAGAATGCATAAAAATACAGGTAGGGTGATAAGCCCCAAATACTCTAGTCTATTCCAAAAAGCTCTGCATGTGGCTTCACGCAGACCCTAACAGTGGGTGGAACTGTCTTTCAGAATCTGCGGCGTATTCTCCTAAATATAGACTCTTAGAATAAATTCCAAACTCCTTCCCTTGGCCTTCACTGCCTCACACAGTCTGCCCCTGGTAAATACTGCACCTTCAATACTAAAAGCTGAGGCAGCTGAAGCTTCTACAAAAGAAAAGAGGTGGTATAAGGTTAAGAGACCAGAGGGAATGTGATAAGCTAGCATAGGGACCACACATGCCAGTGCCAAGGGTGCCACAGAGAGGTGCCCTCCACAGAGCCTTAGGATCTAGACACAGGATAATCACTCCTGTGCTTGGTTCAGCACTCTTGACTGTTCAGAAAGGTCTTTTGCACACATCACCACTTCACATTCCATCCTTCAGGCAGGCCGGTGAGCCCTGCTCCCCACAGGAGACATCTGGGGCTTTGAGATGTCTGGTTACTCACCCAGATGTCTGGGACCACAGCGTCAGACTTCAACACTCTGGGTCCTTTTCACCACACCATCCAACCCAGGAAAAAGAACTCTGAGTGTAGAGCACAAGCCAGTTTATCCCAGCGTATACGCGTACCTACCCATGGCCACTGTTTCCCAAAAAAGCCAACAGAAGGACAGGAATTATAATTAAGTGAGGGATATTAACTCTCAGTAGGCTCTGAAAAGGTAAGGATGTCTACTGTAATTTCTAGAACACCTAAAAAAAAAAAAAAAACTGCTAAGAGGAATAGTTAAAAGCCAATAAATTAAAATGAGATTTTACAAAACATTTAGTTAACTCAAAAGAAGGAAGGAAAAATGAAATAAAAAAATCAGAAGGGACAACCAGAAAACAAATAGTAAATCAGAAGACCCATGTTAACCGTATCACTAAGTACATTAAATATTAATGGTTAAATACTCCCAATAAAGAAGACACTGCTGGAATGGATTTTTAAAGATCCACAAAACAATTAGGATGACTAATTACTTAAAAAAAAAAAAGCCCCCCAAGCCCCAAATCCAGAAAATAATGTAAGTATTGGCAATGATGTGAGTGATGTAGAGAAAGTGAAATGTTTGTGCATTGCTGTTGGAAACGTAAAATGGTTTAATAATC